CAGGAGTTTGATGTTGCTGTGAGCTAGGCTGATGCCACGGCACTCTAGCCCAGGCAACAGAGCAAGACTCTGTCTCAAAAAAAAAAAAAAGTATTCACTGTATCCACAGCATCTAAATAGTTTTAAAATAGCCTGATAATAGGAACAACAAAATAGTTCAATTATGTAAAATTGAACTATTTCAGTTCTATTCATATTCACCTTTAATCATAAGACTATGGAACATTTAAAGTTAAACATTCTATATGGAAAGAAAACATAGTAGATGGAACAGCTGGAGCAGAAGAACTTGGCAGTGACCGACAAGGAAGGGCCCCTGGAGCCGGCTGTGGTGGATGCCTTTGATTAATCCTGGCACTTGGTTGCCCAGGAGTGTCCCAGCATCCCAGCTACTTGTTCATGGTTCAAACTTGCCACAGGCTTTTCTGTCACCTCTTTCATCTCTCATCTTAGCCTGGTCTTTGCCTTAAGCTGACATAGCAGGGTCTTTCCTGATTGAATCCACGCAATATTTTCCTAGATCCCGCCTTGCTCCCTGTTGCCTTCACACCATGGAAAGACTGGGGCTGAGTCCTGCTCAGGCCTTTACTGTCTGAGTAAAGCAGGCACTTGACCTTGCTGTAGCCCAGGCCTCTAGTGAACTCCCCCCACCCCAAAAAAGAAAACATAGTAGAAAAAAAATATGGACCATCTTCTTAGCATTACTCATATTGTTAACCTGAATAACAAACAATAATACTCTAGGAAAATCTTTCAAATAAGGCAATTGTATATAAATTATGGTATTACTTTATAATGGGTCACTTTAAAATTTCTAAATTTATGCATGAAATCTGAAAAATGTGCTCATGCCTGTAATCCCAGCACCTCAGGAGGCTGAGGCAGGAGGATAGTTTGAGGCCAGGAATTCAAAACTAGCCTGGGCAACATAGTGAGATCCTGCCTCTCCAAAAAATTAGAAAAGCTTATCCAGGCGTGGTGGTGTGCACCTGTAGTCCCAGCTACTTGGGAGGGTGAGGCAGGAGCCACTTAAGCCCCCGAGTT